TCCTTTACCCTAATTTTCTGTGTAGCAAATTAGTTATTTACTTATTAAGCACATATTTTTTTTTTAGTTCGAGTCCATTTTCAATAATTTCTTTTTTCTTTTGGTCTGATTTCTGTGCCAAAAGCTGTGTTATATTTTTAGTGAAATATAAACATATTCATTCGTTTTTCTTCATATTTCATTTCCTTTTGAATATATATATTTCCTTTTTTATTCGTTCATAAAAAGAATTAATATTGATTTTTATTCATTTTTCTAATAATTGTCGATTAATTGGCCTGATTTCCATGTCGATTAGTAACATGATATTAATAACAGATTTCTTTGTGAAATATTCATTTCCTTTCTCGTTCATAAAAAGAATTAATATTCATTTCCACATAATTAAAAAGTAATATAATTATAAAAAATATAATTACTGATTATATTTCCAGTAAATAATTAATATAATTATAATAATTATAATCATATAATTGCTGATTATATTTTAAGTGAAATATGAATATATTCATTTCCTTTTTCACTCATAGAAAGAGTTAATATTCATTTTCATTTCTTTTTCCCTCATAATTTTTTCTAATATTTCACATGGTGATTACTAATTTTTTCGTAGGGAAAGCGGTGTTATATTTTCAATAAAGTTTAATATTAAGTCTTTTTTTTTTTCATTTGGCCTAATTCCCGTGTCTATTAGTATAATAGAATATTAATAATAGATTTTCGTGTCTAATTTTTTTTTTTTCCTTTCATATTCATTTCTTTTTTTCTTCATAAATAATTAATATAATTATACTTTCAAAAAAAATTAATATAATTATAATAATATAATATAATTACTGATTATATTTTAAGTGAAATATGGATATATTCATTTCCTTTTTTCATTCATAGAAAGAGTTAATATTTGTTTCCATTTCTTTTTTCTTCATAATTTTTTCCTAATATTTCATTTGGTGGTTACTAATTTTTTCGTAGGAAAAACTGTGTTATATTTTCAATAAATTTTTAATATTAAATCCTTTTTTCATTTGGCATGATTCCCATGCCTATTAGTATAACAGAATATTAATAATAGATTCTCGTGTGTAAAATTCATTCTTATTTCTGGTCATAAAAACAATCTGGTACATTTGTAATATTCATTTTCAATCATAAACACAATCTGGTACAATGTTTAATAATCATTTTCTTTTTCCTTTACCCTAATTTTCTGTCTAGCAAATTAGTTATTTACTTATTAAGCACATTTTTTTTAATTCGAGTCCATTTTTAATATTAATTTCGTTTTTCTTTTAGTCTGATTTCTGTGTCAATTAGTAACAGAATATTAATAAAAAATTTCATTATTACAATTAATTCTTTAGTTTTTTTTTTTGAATTAGAATAATGATAATTGTAATTATATTAATTAATTAATTGTATGGATATTTTTTTGCAATGAGATACAGATCCACCAATGTACCCAGATGTGTTCTCCTGCCTCAAAGCCTAGTGAATTATACACATGTTGCATCTTAAATGCACGTAGATATAGACATTCAATTTATTTATTTATTTATTTATTTTTTTGAGAATGCTAATCGATTCAATGATAGTTGAAGGTAGATAACAATACTTATAATATGAAATTATACAATAAGGGAGAATATGAAATTAACAATACTAAATGTGCAAACCTGAAAAAGTCTAAAAATTGCATATATTAGTGTTCACGTTTGCGTTCTCTTCTCTTCCCTCTTTTGGCAGTGGTATTTCCTCAATACCATTTTTTTTCTCGCAATTAGTCATTCTCGTTACTTACTATTCTAAATCGCGGATTATTCTTTGTGTTTTTTTTTTTTACTGCTTCTGTGTGTTTCTTAAATGTCCCATTTATTGATTGATTGAATATTGTGAATGTTGAATATATGGATTGATTGAATATTGTGAACGTTGAATATATGGATTGATTGTATATTGAGAATGTTGAATATTTTGAAAGTACCTACTGGTTTATCTTCTCCAAGAATTGATGTCTGAAATTGTTAATCGTTTTATGTTATCTGATTTCTTTTCTTCTGTGTTATTTGTTTGGTCCGATCATGACCGTGTTTGATTTTATTTGTGTGTCTTCCGTGCTAAATGTTATGAATCTGTGCCTAAATCTGCTTTACCTGAATGTGCTTAATGCTGAACCTGTTGCTTTTTCTGTTCCAGCTTGACAATTCTTGAATTTGTGTCTATAAGTGCCTCTGTGCTGGGTTGTTTTCAAGTTGCATGTGTCTAGTTTTGGGTTTCTCGTTTATATTCTACTTGTGCAGGTCCTGTTACAGCTACAATGAAACTTCTTCTAAGAGTTGTCTTATTATGATATTGTGATGAAACAGTCATGGTTTACAAATTGCGGGGGAACATAATTATTTTGGATTATCATATTATTATATTATTTGGATCATCATTTGGATTATCTTTATTGGATATTGGATTATCATATTATGGTTATATATTAGCTGAAATCTTGGATTGAATGGTCTTCGATGAATGGTTATCTTTTATGGTTGTTGAATGGATTTAAAATAACGTTTATCTATTCGGGTTGGTTATGGAAGCCTATTTCATCTTCGCGATTCTGATGATTCTGATGATGCTGCTTCTATTTCTGTTGATCCTTCCCACTCGGACACTCCATCAGCCCTATAGTTTTTCACCACTAATGTTCGCATTTGTCAATTCATTGACAAAAGGGGGGAGTATACAATAAGGGAAAATATACAATAAGGGAGAGTACGGTTGATTTGACAATCTGGTATGTTGGCTTGAAAATATAGATAATCTCTACTATTATATTAATGATTAGTTGGCTTGAAACTTTGGGTAATCTCTGCTATTAATGATCAGTATCAATTTCTATTAAGTTTTATATATGATTAGATGGTTAGTTTTTATTTAGCTTTTCTATCTCTCTTTTATGGGTTATTAAGTTATTTATTAGGTTTCTTATTATCACTGATCTTATTTTAAATATTGGAGTTATGGTATCTTTGGATGGACCGTCTATGTAGTATGATTATTGAGTATGTTGCAGTATATTGCTAGTGGTTTATATTCTACGGATAGAGCAACGGTCCAAAATGTCTTTGTAATCTCTAAATTAATTCTAACCTATAGGATTCTATGTCAAGCAAATATACTAAGGACTATCTATTAATGAATTTGTTTAAATTACTTTATTCTTGGCCCCAAGTATATTTACCTTAGTTTTTGTCAAATAAATTATTAAAGGGGAAAATTGTAATTAAGTGTACAAATGATATACATTAAACCCTATTATAAATTAGCTAATTTATTTGTCAAAAAGGTTAGAATTTAATGGAGGTATTTTATTTGGACCGACTCCCATCAAAGTTCAATCTTCACCTATGGATTTGCTGGTCAGTGCTCTTCAAAATGGTTTGGCTGGTCAAATCTAATTTTTAGCAATATTTAATTTAAGTGGATGACATTTATCAAACAGAATGTGGTCGGCACACTTTGAGGAATGATGGTTGCGTGAAAGTAATTATAAAAATGAGGATTTGGAATCATCTTTTGATCTCACGCATTTACAAAAACCATATTGAGAGGAAAAGGCATTTTATATTACATCTATATTACAGATTAGTATATTATTATAAGGTGGTAATCTCGTTGGATCAGATGGCCTGGATCAGTGTCAACAAGTAGAAGATGGTATGCACGTACCTCTTCGAAGTTAGATGTTGTGAGGATTAGTGTTGGTTGTTGTACGTGGCTAAGGCCGTGTGTATACAAACCCCTTGTAATCCTGGTGAACATCTAGTGGATTGTACCTCTCCGAAGTTAGATTTTGTGAGGATTAGTGTTGGTTGTTGTACGTGGCTAAGGTCGTGTGTATACAAACCCCTTGTAATCCTGGTGAACATCTAGTGGATTGTACCTCTTCGAAGTTAGATTTTGTGAGGATTAGTGTTGGTTGTTGTACGTGGCTAAGGTCGTGTGTATACAAACCCCTTGTAATCCTGGTGAACATCTAGTGGATTGTACCTCTTTGAAGTTAGATTTTGTGAGGATTAGTGTTGGTTGTTGTACGTGGCTAAGGTCGTGTGTATACAAACCCCTTGTAATCCTGGTGAACATCTAGTGGATTGTACCTCTTCGAAGTTAGATGTTGTGAGGATTAGTGTTGGTTGTTGTACGCGGCTAAGGCCGTGTGTATACAAACCCCTTGTAATCCTGGTGAACATCTAGTGGATTGTACCTCTCCGAAGTTAGATGTTGTGAGGATTAGTGTTGGTTGTTGTACGTGGCTAAGGCGGTGTGTATACAAATTCTTTGTAGTCCTGGTGAACATTTAGTGGATTGGGCTGACGTGAGCTGCCCCTGCCCCGTAGACGTAGGAGGTTTAACTCCGAGCTGGCGAGCTGTGTGATCATTTTGTGTGTTCTTGATTTTTATTTCTTACCTTTTAATTTATTTTGTTCATCCTAAAATGGCATAATTAAAATGGTATGTTAATGTCTAAATTAAAACCAAGTTGAACTTTAGGTATTTACTTGCATTCAAGGCCCATGATACAAATGTACAATTTCAATACTTAAAGTTAAATGGTGTATTTGACTATTTTTCCTATTTTATATATTATATTCTCCGCGAACTCCACAACGTAACGTACCCTATTTTAGCCAACTTTTAGTTCCAACAACCCAAGGTTGAATTAATCCTCGTACGATCACATACTCTTGATTATTTTCGTAGACATAAAATCTTTTGTTAACTTTGGTCAACGTTATAGAGGAAACTAGAAAAATGTATTGTGACGAAGGATGAGTTATCAGCCTTATCTCACCCTCGAAATGTTTGACTAAAATTGTTTGAACAGTTCAGAATTTTTAAACCAATGGGCGGGCAGCAAGATTGCTACACATTGCGTCATATCCTGCTATATATACATACTTCATTTCTTGGAAAATTTATCATACACAAACAAACTAGCTCATATATATATATATATATATATATATATATCAGCTTATCCTCCTAAGTTGAAATACTACATCAGAAATATGGCTACATCTCAGCTTACCAAAACCAATATTATTGTGCCTCTTCTTTTCTGCTTCCTTTTCATTGCAGCCTTTGGTGGGTACTCTCAAACTCCGATCCTTTCACTGATTTTTCATATTTAATTTTCTAATGTATATTAGTTCAATTGGTTCTTAATTCACATTTAATTTATAATATAATGTAGCTTTATTAGTATACAAAAATAGTATTTTGAATATCTAGGTTATATACAACTAGTTGTTTTTTCTCATTTATATTTTTAAAGATAAAACTTTTAGTTTTTAGTCTTCGATTTCATATCCATAATTTTTATATTGTAGATTCATAATTTCTAAACTTTTGGTGAGCTAAAATTTATACTTTAGATTCCAATGGTTGAACTCTGTTTTCACAAATCAGTGCAATATAGAAATTATGAATCTACTGTATAGAAATTATGAATCTATTGTATTTAGATTATGAATCCTACGGTTTTAGAAATTATGAATCTAAAGTATAAATTTTATGTATAGAAATTATGGATATTAAAGCACGTGCTCACAGCATAACGATTGCTCGTTGCTGTGACTTATCCGTAGTATAAGCTCAACAATATGATATGCCATTATTGATTGATATGGGGCTTGAACTTATGACTTTTCATTTGGAAGGATCACGATGCCATCAAATCACAAGTTCAAACCTATGACCTTTTTGTACATGCCTGAAAAGGGTTCTCGTACTTTATGGTCCCTTCTTGGTCGACTTTGTTGCAAGTACTTCTCGTGGTGTAGTTTTAAAAGTATCTAATTTTAAACTTTTTATTTGTTTCCAATTTACCCTTATTAGTACCTTTTATATCTTTGATAATTTTAAACTTTTTATTTGTTTCCATTTTACCCTTGTTAATAACTTTTACATCTTTTAAATTGTTTGAAGAAAGACAAGTTTGAGAAAAGAAAATACTCAATTAAACTAATCTTCGTTTGCATCAAGACTATATTAATTTTTTCATACGATAGGCATTTAGAATTCCCGACCTCTTTTATGGAATGTGAGTATATAACCACTTACGCCCATCTGGTTGAATGATATCACCTTTAATTTTTAAAAACTCCTGACAAAGACATGCAATTACTATACCATACAGAATGATATGATGGAGATGGAAGATAATAAGGTAATAATTAGTTTGTTGAATATATATAATGTAGAGATGGAAAGCGCAGAAGCAACATGTTGGGTTGCCTCAAAAACTTGGAACGAGGACTGCAACGGTAATTCTTGCAAAAATTGGTGTGACTCCCAAATCAATGGTCGTTACTACTGGAAGTGTGAGAAATCCTGCGGAAAAAGCTATTATTCTTGTGGTTGCTACAAGGATTGCTGATATGATTATATATGCATGGGAATATATTATAATCAAATCGAAGGAACCAATGTTTATACTGCATGGGTTGATTATGAAACAAAAATATTATCATACAAATAAAATCTATATATAATTATATGAATTGGACAAGCTAGCTTGTTGTCCTTCTGTTGTGTGTAATAGTGTATGTTGTTGTACTGTGTACTATCAATAAGACGTATTTGCATCTTTTATTATTGTGTAATAAAAGATATATGTATAGATATAATGGTTGTTGTAACGTGTACTATCAAATAAGACGCATTTGCATCTTTTATTGTGTAATAAAGGATATAAGATATGTTCCAATGCAAAATAAAAGATAGGAAAAAGTGTCAAATTGGCTCCCTAAATCGAGTGGATAGTGCAATTGAGTCGCCTAAGTGAAAAAAGCTCCATTCAGGTCCCCTAAACCTGTAAAATTTTTCAATTAAGTTCAAGTTGACTTGTTTATCAGGTTAAATGCATACGGTGTTGACATGTGTCATTATTTTATTTTTTATTAAAAATATTATTTATTATAAATTAATTAAAATAATAATTATTATAATAATTAAAAAGAATTTTTTTAAACAAAAAAAAAAAAAAAAAACAGCTGTGGCAAGACGACCACGACTGTCCTTGAAGAAGGAAGTCCGGCGTGGCCGTGGACAGCCGGTAGCTGTTTTTTTTTTTATTTTTTTATAATTATAATTATAATTATTATTTTAATTAATATAATAAATAATATTTTTAATAAAAAAAATAAAATAAGGACACATGTCAGCACCGTATGCATTTAACCTGATAAACAAGTCGATTTGGACATAATTGAACAATTTTACCGTTTTAGAGGACCTGAATTGAGCTTTTTTCACTTAGGGGACCCAATTGCACTATCCATTCGACTTGGGGGCCAATTTGACACTTTTTCCATAAAACATATAATATAAGATATGTTTCAATGCACAATTCAGTTGGTCAACTATTTCAAAATATACTACTCTATGATTTACCTCATTTACTAGTCTTTAGGACAAATATATATATATATATATATATATATATATATATATATATATATTTCAGGTGCGGCTATAGCTTCTTGTGCGGTTAACTCAAAAAGACGCATCTTAAACATACAAATAAAGTATCTTAAGAACACAAACCACGCACCTAAAGCTTAATTTAAGGTGCTTTGTTTGTATGCTTAAGGTGTGTAGCTTAAGATGCGTCTTTTTGAGTTAACCGCACAAGAAGCTATAGCCACCTGAACCCTTCTATATATATGTGTGTGTGTGTGTGTGTGTGTGTGTGTGTGTGTGAGACTCCCCAGGTAAAAAATGCCCACAAATCTCAATTATTGAATTCATCCAGATCTAATGCTCTTTTAAAAAAAATTCCTTTCGAATTAATAAAAATTGTGCACTTGAAGATATAAAAATGTGCAATTGAATGTAAAATTATGCACTCGAAGGTAATTCAATAAATGTGCAATTGATGCAATTTATGGTACCAAAAAGTAAGTTATTCAACTTAAGTGTTATTAAAGCAATTACCCATACAAATCATTTGTAAATCTCACAAATTTCATTAGAAATTTAGTTATATGTTATTGAAAAGAATGAAAAAGATATAACAAGTATTGGCCCAGAATTGTGCACTTGAAGGAAAAAAAATGCACTTAAAGGCATAAAAATGTGCACTTGAAAGCTAAAAACATGGACTAGAAGGGAAAAAAGGATTCATTGGAATGTTAATTAAGTATTTTTTTTTTTTACACAATAGTAAGACACACATACACTTGTAGGCACATGAAATTGAGCACTTGAAGGCATAAAGAGGATCACTAGAAGGCAAGGGAGAAAAAAAGACATTAAACGGAAAAAGTCGAAGGAAATTAATTGTGCACTCTTAGAAATGAAAACATGCACTTGAAGGCTAAAAAACGTGCACTTGAAGACTAAAAACATTCACTAGAAGGAAAACGGTTCAATGGAATGCTAAGTAATCAATATTCAATATCAATATCCATATCCAACCTTACGCCACTTCAAACCTTTACACCAAGCCAACATGTACACCAATCCAAGCTTATCCACCAAGTGGAGGCGAAGCTCTCGCCACCGATACAAATGGAGCCAAAGCTCTCGCCACCGATGCAGATGGAGCCGAAGCTCTCGCCATCGATACAGATGGAGCCGAAGCTCTCGCCACCAATACAAATGGAGCAAAGCTCTGCAATTCCACCAATCCAATGACCGATGCCCAATAATACAATATAGCCAATAAAACGTGTGTGTGTGTGTGTGTGTGTGTGTGTGTGTGTGTGTATATATATATATATATATATATATATATATATATATATATATATCATCAAGATACTCAAGAATTAAATGATATCAAGGAACAAGGATTCACGGGAGAATCACAGTTCAAACGGAGGTCAAAGAGTTCACAACATGCCGAGAAAGACTTGCAATGCACCAAACATTAAACAACGTTGCACTGAAACCAAAGTAATACATTCTGCGAATCAATTCCTAGGACCTAACGGGCAAAGGTCACGGGAAAAGACTTCCCGCCACAACATACCGCATAGAGGCCGTGGGCATGTGCCACGGGAAAAGAACTCCTGCCACACATCTGTGCGAATGGCCTTGCAGGTAACCTTTGCGAGAAAACAATTTCCGTGAGGTATGCCTGCATGGCTAAAATGATAGCAGAAGCCTGTATGAAACAGAACACAATATTTCAACAGAGCAGAATGCTATTTCATCAATACAAGGGTTAAAACTCAACAAGAAATCCACACTAACAACTCTAGAATATCAATAGCTCAAAGGGAATCAAGAATAGATACTATAGCTCAAGATTAACACCACAATATGCTCAAGAACAAGAGATATATCAAGAATATGCTCAGAATTTTCAAGTAGAACATTCATCACATATTGGATTAAAATAGACTTTGTTGGACATGAAAACTTACCTCTTAGCTAGCTAAACCACTCTAGTCTCCAAGCAAGCTTATCCTAGCACTTCTTCTTCAACTTGATCCTCTAGAAACCCCAAAATCCCAATGAAGAAAACATAAGGAAATGTGATAAAGACTATGAAATGAGAAAGGGAAATGCAAGATGAAGGTTTATCTTACTTTATTTTGTAGAGAAGATTTATAAAGGAGTAGTCTTTGTGATGTTTAGCTTGTAGAAGATGGAGGCTATTTTTTTGTGTTGGGATTATGGAGAATGGCGTGAAGATGATGGAGTGGAGTAGGGTGGAAGACAAAATGTTAAGATATTTATTTGTAGGGATTGCTAGGGTAAGGTCTTAGATACAAGGTTGTATGTATATTAGGTTAAGATCATGGTTTGTACAATCATTATGCTATGGACCCGTGTCCAACATACATTGTGGACACGGTAACAGTGTCGTTAGTGGCACCGTTATCTTTCATCATTTTTTTTTTTAAATTTCAGACCACTTCGTTATAGGAGTATATGTTCATAATTTTATCACTATATGTTCATAATTGTAAGTTCATAATGTCAGAGCTTTGTGTTCATAATTTCATAATTGTACATTCATAATTCCGTAATTGTACATTCATAATTCCGTAACTGTACATTCATAATTCAATAACTGTAAATTCATAATTTTCGAAGCTCTATGTTCACAGTTTTAGAGCTCTATGTTCATAATTTTATCACTATATGTTCATAATTGTAAGTTCATAATGTCAGAGCTATGTGTTCATAATTCCATAACTGTACATTTATAATTTTCGAAACTCTATGTTCACAATTTTAGAGCTCTATGTTGATAATTTTATCACTATATGTTCATAATTGTAAGTTCATAATGTCAGAACTCTGTGTTCATAATTACATAATTGTACATTCATAATTCCACAAACGAATAACGTCGTTAACGATGAGACAAAATTAATTTTTTTTAACTGAAATGCCATCGTTTTTCCTTAAAATGACGTCGTTTGCGACTCGTGTCCACAATGCATTGTGGACACGAGTCCACAACATAATTTGCCATAGTTGTAGGAATGGACATTATATTGTGTAAATGGGCTATATAACCCTTATAACAATTTTGGGCTAATATTAAATAAGTTGGGCTAGAAGACATGCATATAATATAAATAGAATCAAAGGTAAGGTCCAAAAGTATTTAATCTTAGGAAATTGGGTGGAGAATAATAATTTATAAAGGATTGGGCCTTAAATAAATTCATGAGTTAGGAATTTAATTACTTAAAAGAAGAATTGAGCCAATTGAAAGAATAAAAGTAAATTATGCCTTGAAAATGTGTTCAATGGTGAATACGGGTCCAAACAACGTCGTTTTTACGTAAAAATAAAAATAAAAATTCGCAAATGTGGTGTTAACGGTGCGCGTTTGGTCAAATTATGAATTTTCTGTTATGAGATTATGAATGTGCTGTAAATTTATAATCTTATAACAGAAAATTCATAATCGTATAAAAGAAAAACATTTATTAAATTATGAATTTTCTGTTATGAGATTATGAATTTATTGTAAATTCATAATCTCATACCAAAAAATTCATAATCTCATAACAGAAAATTCATAATTTATGAATGTTGAAGAAACGTGCGCTATAGAGGAGCAGCCATAGTTTCGGACGGAAATGTGTAGGCATGGTTCTAAAGTGAATGTGCAAGAATGAAATCATAATTTATGAATGTCCGAAATCATTGTTCACCTCAAATTAAAGTGAAACCGCGAATGTGAAAATGAAGAAGAAAAGTTACGCGATTAATTAAGAAAAAAAAAAAAAAAAAACTATAACGGTGCACTAATGATGAACACGGTTCCATGGCGTAACGATTGATCAGTCTCACTCACTATTTCCACGCTCAGATTTTTCTGCAATGGCGTCCAAGCTTCTGTTCCTTCCGAATTCCTTCTTTTCACGACCGGAGCCGGCGGCCCAACGGCGGCGTTACTCCCGTCGCAAAAATGCCTCACCAACTGTTACTTCTTCTACTAACGCCAAACCATTTACCCAAGATTCGCCGATGCCATTGTATAATCACAGAGAGAAGGCACCGATGTGGCCTCCGATTAGGCCCAACCAATTCAGCAGCTCTGTCGCCGTCAGGTCAAGTTTGAGCTATCCTATCATCTCTCCGCAAGATCAATGGGGCATGTGGACTGCTCTCTTCTCCGTCGGCGCTTTTGGTATTTGGTAACCCAACTCACCCCATCTCCTTTCCTTTTCCGGCTCTCCTTTTTTATACGCTTGATTTTCATTT